GTGCGCACACCTCACATCAGCAATCACAGTTGGAGTAATCCCACCAATGACCCCAACGACGCGGCAGTATTGTGCTACCACAGAGCGAGGTGGGAGCTGCAACCCGTAGCCCCGTCAGAGACTTGTTAACTGTGACGCGCTGCATCTCCTCGTCATTCTCCTCACGGGCTCGAGTTTCTCCTTCAGGTCTTAAACGAGGATCTTAAGAGTGGCGGGTCGAAGCTCTCAGATCTTGGCAGGGATACGGTGTCTGTTTTTTTTCTCAGCTTTCACCTTTTCAGTTTATCGTCCCCCATCGGCATCAATTTAATGACATGTCCGCTGATTCTTACATTCAGTAGACCAAAACCCGTCGCTGCGTGTCCGTCGTCTGTTGGAACGTCACTCAGGCTCTCCTCTAACTGTTAGCGAGCGTCTCAATCCCACCGTCTGTGATTTGGCGTCTCCCTGCTCCCGACGCTTTCTTGCACTGGTTTCAGTTTTTGCATTATTTATGTGTCTCAGCAACTGTGTGTGTGAAGAAATCAATATTTAGTTTGGATTCACTCACGAATGTTGTCAAATGTAGTCGACTGATGTCATAACCAGTATCCGGGTCCAGACTTGGACAGCTGCTTTGCACCGCTGGCCTCGATGAAGATGGACTTTCCACTGGCGGCGCACGTCGCGTTCCCGATGCAGTACCGTGTTCGCTGATTGTTGGGATTTATTGTATTTAAAACTAAAAGGTGAAGCATATTAGATCATTTCCATAACCATACAGTTCATTAAGTGACCATGTACATATACTTTTGTATGGAGATTTTTGGGGGCGTTATTAAAGACTTGCGGTCCAATGGCATGGGTGTATGTACCCCATTTAAGAGTCGTCTGTTTGCGTTTGTTTCCTATCAAGAGTAGAAACACCAGTAATCTCATTCACACACAGAAGCATTCACACTTCAATGGAAGTGTTGGGGAAACTGGAGCCACCAACTTTCCAGTTGCACAACTGCCCTGAGCTAACATGGGAATGCTAAGAGATTCCAAAGATTGTCCATCCATTCAAAATCCCCATGAAGCGATTTGTAATAATCCCTTTGCAGCTGACACTAGTGGGCAACAACTGACTGACACAATCTTGGTTTTCCTCGTCCACATCCAAGCACCGAAACTGAGTTTTTGAACATTTTGTTTTTCTTTGCTTTTGTCCTCAAACACAAAAGGCCAACACGCACAGCCAACGCTGTTTACCAAAATACCCGTGTAGGTGCTGACGGTGTAATTATTTACCACACCAGCATGTAGAGGTCAGTGGGTTTCCTTCACTCCCACTGCTAGTTGCTTCAGAGTGACAGTAAATTTAAAGGTCTCTGCACACGGAGCTCGATGGGTAAAAAATCAACAGAAATTCCCAAATTTTCCAGATGTGACTTTGTTGTATAATGTACATACAGACCGAGCTTCTTGAGATTTTGCAAGAAAACTGCAAAAAAAGGTGTTTTGTATCGCAACCACTTTAGTCCATATTTCAGGATGGGGGGGGGGCAGTTTGAGCTCTATTAGCAGAGTTGGAGGCACAGAAATCATTTCAGGGACGGCTGAGCCAGAGCAGCGTCTGGCTGTGTGTTCAGTACCGGTGCGCTTTGTGAGCAACGCGTGGTCTGGTCTGGCTCATTAGCATGCCAAAAATCCAAAAAGTAAATGCCATAAATTTGTTGCGTGTAATTATTTGGTGGGAACGGCTGCATTAAGACTGGGCGGATAACAGAAAACATTTTTACTGCATGAGTTAATATAATAAAAGCCTCAAGTCTCCACCTGCCCGCTTCCATAGATATTCCAATCTGTGTTGATGCATCACTGCTACGTCCTGTGCGGATGCCTCGCAACACCATAGACCAGGGGTCCCCAGTCCCAGCCCACGAGGGCCAGTGTCCCTGCAGGTTTTAGACGTGTCCTTGATCCATCACAGCTGATTTAAATGGATAAATTACCTTTGCAACATGTCTTGAACTTATCCAGAGGCCTGGTAATGAACTAATCATGTGATTCAGGTGTGTTGACCCAGGGTGAGGTCTACTTTGGGAGACTATTATTTGTCCTTTCGTATCACACCCATCAAACCTGAGGTCGGACAAGAATCCTGGGAGCTACGATCAAATGTTTATTGCAATACAAGTCAACCTGACTTATCTTTACCAGCAGGGAGGCAAATCCCTCCCTAGGTGGGCTTTTCCCAAAATTCCTGTGGAATCTTCATGCAGTTATTTACACGTTTTGCTGCAGACGGTGAACTGACAGGCCAGTTTGGCTCTGCAACAGTGAAAGTATTCATTATCAGTAAGCAGCCTCATAATGTGAAGGTTGGGCGTCTTTAATACATCACATTATGTAGCATGTTGATATGTTTATGGTTAGTACAACACTGCTTCATAATGTAATGACAGGGAAATGACGTCTTCCTCCTTTAACATGCAAAAGCACATTAACCTGGCAGGTGTGGACTTTTAATCTTTTGCACTTGTCTAGAAAACATCCCACGTGAAATGTTTCACATATGGCTGCATGCCATTTTAGCACCTCGTGCTTCTGACTGGTTCTTTAGCTGCACCTTGTGTTCCTCATTAGTTATTAATTAGTTATTAATATATTGCTTTCAGGGCCATTACTGTTTCTTTTATTGCTACAAGCAAATGGTGGCATACTCAGTCTAGCACTCTGATCACTTTAATGGTATCACTTGAGGATAAGCCATGATAGGAGACTAGAGAACAAACTTTAGCATGATAGCACAGCTGAGACAAATCCTGTGTGACTCAATTTGTTGTTGTTTTTTTCCCCAAACATTTTAATTAACATAGTTATTCATATTTTTGAATGACTGCTGATAAACACAGGATGTGATCAATCAATGAAACTACACATTTACATAAGAAACTGAAATATGCTTTAAAAAGCACTGAGCAACACTAGACTCGCTTCTCTTTCATTTTCCTCTGTAGTCTTAAAAAAGTCACATTATGTGCATTAGATAAAGATCAAATCCTGTCATCTTGATAACTGCTTCTCTTCTTATTTAGATGCTTCCTAAACAGTAAATGGTAAAGATACATTTTTATTACTCAGAAAAAGCAGCTAAATATTGGGTTTAATTGTCCCTGTCTGTAGAAC